GTTATCAGACGAGGTTAAGGTGTAGAGGAAATGAATTTGGCCTTCTTCCCGTAACTCGTCAAATCTTCCTTCTTCAGTGGCTCTGATAAGCTGGTTGAATTTGTTATTCACACCTAGCCAGACTACTCTCCTATCACATTCGTGGAAGCTAAATAAGAAGGTAGAACAACCAATCAGCAACTGGCGTGAGTGACTTAATAAATGAGGGCTGCGACACATGAAAAAAATCTTTATCCGGATTTTAAGCAAAAGTTGAGCATTTACTGTTCGTATTTCGAGAGGAGTCGTAAAATTAATGAAAGAAATGAGGAATGTGCATAACGCTAAAATCTCAATGAAGCGCTTTCACTGAGCTCAATTGATTCTCTCGACAAAAAATGAAAACGGTGCTCATTTTAAAGTGCACAAAGAAATCCGAGAAACACTTTATCTACTTATCAGCAATTTCAGTAATGCGTCGCCTGCTTAAGTTTTCGCTGAAGAATCTATAATTTTAAAGTAATATAAACTGATAGAATAATTCGTTCTCTTATAATCACCCACATATTGATCTTTCCAGTTTTTCCGTCAATCTTCACAATATTATCGCGTTCGGAATGTGCGACTGCCACTAAGTCGTCACCATACCAGGTGAGAAACGAGAAGAATCTTGTGTGATTCTCGTTTTTCAATTCAATGGTGCTCACCAAAGTCAGGGCATCATCTTCTCTCACGTCTGAAAGAAGCTAAAGGAATGTTGAAGATAGAAAGCTAACAGGATGTTTCATAAGGTCACAAGCCTCCTCGAAAACAAAATTCCCTGAGGTAGATGCTCCTTCTGTGACAGTAATAAGAACTTCTAAGGGTTTGATTAATAGCTTTATGGATTTAATTTCTACATAGATATGGAAATTGTCTTTAGAAAGGAATACAAAACAAGGACGTCACCAAAAGGTGAATTCAGATGAATGAACATACCAAGTATATTTTCCTATTCTTTACGTTCTTTACCAAATACACATAATTTTTTCGTTGTTTGATTCTATAGTTCAAAATTTTTTTCCAGTCCCGCAACGCTCCTCTACGCTTACATACTTTTATGATGTGAACAATACCATAATGAGGTCACAAGATACCCCTTAGCAATAATCCTTGAGAAAGTCGTTCAGCTGCCTGGTCATATGGCCAGCGGCTAGTTAGGGATTGGCCTGACATCCACAGGAGACTTGACATATATATTTACACACCTCTTACTGGTGTGTGACGACATGCTGCGTTTACAGTATATTTCTGAATTGCCCACCTTAACTCAGTTTCTATGTTCTTTTGAGTTAAGTGACTAAATCAGAGAAATCACGAA